CCCCAAAACCCCAAAACCCCAAAACCCCAAAACCCCAAAACCCCTTAAGTATTTTTATATATAGAATATAAATAATGGAGAAATATAAGCATATTAGTGATTTAGGTGTTGGAACTTTTGGGAAAGTTACTAAGGCTGTGAAGAAGGAGACTGACGAGATTGTGGCGATAAAAGCAATGAAACAAAAATTTTATTCTTGGGAAGAATGAATGAATTTGAGGGAGATTAAGTCGCTCAGAAAACTGAATGATCATCCAAATATTGTCAAATTAAAGGAGGTGTTTAGGACTAATAATGACCTCTATTTTGTCTTTGAATATATAAAATCAGATCTCTATAAAGTTATGAAGGACGGAGTAGATATTAAAAGCATAATGTACCAAATTTTAGATGGTCTCAAGTATATTCATAAAAATGGGTTCTTTCATAGAGATCTCAAGCCAGAGAACATCCTTGTGAGCGAAGGCAAAGCCAAGATAGCTGACTTCGGACTAGCTAGAGAAATCAGATCTAAACCACCATACACTGATTATGTCTCAACAAGGTGGTATAGAGCTCCAGAGTTACTCCTGAAATCAACAAATTACAATTCTCCAGTTGATATCTTCGCAGCTGGGTGAATTCTAGCTGAATTATACCTAGGAAGACCCTTGTTTCCTGGAACTAGTGAAGGAGATCAGTTAATGAAAGTTTGATCAATTTTAGGGGCACCTTCTAGCACAGGATGGCCAGAAGGTCATAAGTTAGCTTCAAAATTAGGATATAACTTCCCCAAATTAATTAAAACTCCTCTAGACGAACTCATCCCTGATGCGCCAAAAGAGGCAATTGACCTACTAGAAAAGATGTTCGAATACGATCCTAATAGTAGGCTAACAGCTAAAGAATGACTTGAGCATGAGTTTTTCCAAGATTATAAGCCAGAGGCTGCTTCAAGAAGCTCTAAATCTTGTTGGTACAGCTCTCCAGTATCAAATAAGAACAATAAGCTTCTAAATTCGAAGTATATACGAATGAGCTCGAAGAAGTTTGATGAGGAGAGGAAGAAGAGTCCTACTCATGACAGTACAAAAGATATAAAGAAACCATTGGTTTCAAAGAATTTGAGGTATCCCCAGGTAGGGAAGATCAAGAACTTCAGTCTTGATAGAGGAGGATTTTATCTCCAGAATAAGCCAGGTAAATCCCCTAACACCTCCACTTATCCAAGCAGTCCAAAAGGGTTATCGGTAAACAAAAGCTATGCTAATAAAAAGTTTGGAGGAATTCCTTCCTATGTTAATACTTCATTAATTGGAAAGAAAGATGTTGGAATGAAACCGAATAATGTGACTATTTCCTCACTTCGAGTTTCAAGAAACATTAGCAGTACAATTCATGACGACCCCATTACTTCAAAGGAGCGTGAGGGTTCGGTAAATATAACACCTCAGCCTGCAAAAATGCCTAACTTATCAAACCAGTCCTTTGGCTTGTACCAGTCATCAGGTTTAGGAGGGGGAGGCCTCTCTAGAGCAAGCGGAATGAGCCTTGGAAGACACCAGGTATAGTTTTAAACTAAAATGCCTCTAATTTTGGTAACTTTTGTCGAAATTTGGGGTTTTGGGGTTTTGGGGTTTTGGGGTTTTGGGGTTTTGGGG